GCACCTTAAATACCAGTATCTCACCCACCTTCACGTCACACACACACACCAGCACCTCACACACACACACACACACAGCTGCACCTCACACACACACACCTGTACCTCACACACCTGCAAGTCACCGTGATTACAACGTTGGCTGGGTATTTTATCAGTGTTGTTAAGGCGGTAGTTGTTAAGACCTGAAGAGAGAAGGTTTATCGTGGCCATAACTCGTGGTTTTGGTATATATTTACGGCTGTTGTTTTGGGGAGGAGATAAAATGCTAAAAGTTGGTCGTTTTTACCGAGTGTCCGAGAAGTGTTTGTGTGTGTGAGGGGGGTTGTGTGTGTGGGGGTGTGTGTGTGGGGGTTGTGTGGTGAGGGGTTGTGTGTGTGGGGTTGTGTGGGGTTGTGTGTGGTTGTGTGTGAAGGGGTTGTGTGTGAGGGGTTGTGTTAATGGGGGTTGTGTGTGTGGGGGGTTGTGTGTGAGGGTTGTGTGTGAAGGGGGTTGTGTGTGGGGGTTGTGTGTGTGGGGGTTGTGTGTGTGGGGTTGTGTGTGTGGGGTTGTGTGGGGGTTGTGTGTGGGGTTGTGTGTGGGTTGTGTGTGAAGGGTTGTGTGAAGGGGTTGTGTGTGGGGGGGTTGTGTGTGGTGGGGGTTGTGTGTGGGGTTGTGTGTGTGGGGGGTTGTGTGTGGGGTTATTGTGTGTGGGGGTTGTGTGTGGGGTTGTGTGTGTGAAGGGGGGGTTGTGTGTGGGGGGGTTGTGTGTGTGGGGGGTTGTGTGTGTGTGGGGTTGTGTGTGTGGGGGTTGTGTGAAGGGGTTGTGTGTGGGGGTTGTGTGTGAAGGGGTTGTGTGTGGAAGGGGTTGTGTGTGTGGGGGTTGTGTGTGTGGGGTTGTGTGTGGGGTTGTGTGTGAAGGGGGTTGTGTGTGTGAAGGGGGGTTGTGTGTGTGGGGTTGTGTGTGTGGGGGGTTGTGTGTGGGGTTGTGTGTGGAAGGGGGTTGTGTGTGTGGGGTTGTGTGTGTGGGGTTGTGTGTGAGAAGGGTTGTGTGTGGGGTTGTGTGTGTGATGGGGGTTGTGTGGGGGTTGTGTGTGTGTGGGGTTGTGTGTGTGTGGGGGTTGTGTGGGGTTGTGTGTGTGTGTGGGGGTTGTGTGGGGGTTGTGAAGGGGTTGTTAATGGGGAGGTTGTGTGTGTGTGGGGTTGTGTGTGTGGGGTTGTGTGTGGGAGGTTGTGTGTGGGGGTTGTGTGTGAGGGGTTGTGTGTGGGGGTGTGTGTGAAGGGGTTGTGTGTGGGGTTGTGTGTGAAGGGGGTTGTGTGTGTGGGGGTTGTGTGTGTGTGGGGTTGTGTGTGGGGTTTGTGTGTGTGGGGTTGTGTGTGAAGGGGTTTGTGTGTGGGGGTTATGTGTGTGGGGGTTGTGTGTGGGGGTTGTGTGTGGGGGTTGTGTGTGGGGTTGTGTGTGTGGGGGTTGTGTGGGGTTGTGTGTGTGTGGGGGTTGTGTGAGTGTTAGTGCTCAATAGTAATCAAAATGGGATGATGATGATGATGATAAGATAGATAATAATTGATTAAAATAAAAGAGGCGAGAGGGAGGTGCAAGATGTGTAGGCTGAGAGATAAGAGAGGGAGTGAGGGGGGAGTGAGAGAGGGGTACATGAGGTGAGGGAGAGGTGTGTAGGCGCTTCTCAATTGTTGGAGGGTGACGCTTTATGATGGGAGTGTCGGGGAGAGAGAGAGAGAGAGAGAGAGAGAGAGAGAGCCAACATTTTTATTCTTTGGCACTGCAATATATTTACATGAGGTTAACGGTGAAATGAGTCTGTTTCAGCAGCAACAAATCCAGAGTCCTTGAAAAAAATTAAATGAAGAAAGATAAATTAACCTTAGCTCTTTTTTTTTTCTTAGATTAAGCACTTTTATACTCAGGGTACGTTGCCCTCTAGTGGGGCTTGAGGGCTTAAGAGGGGCTTGTTGGGGGGTTTTAGTAAGGGATTTGGGGGATTTTAGTATGGGGGGGGGTTGGGGGTCCCTTATTGTGAGGGTGGAGGTGTTGGGGTTGGGTGGGATTTGGATAGTAGGTGGGTGTAGGGGGAAACTTGTGGAATTTAATTAATTATTAATTTTGCTAGTTTTTTGTGCACCCCATACTCCTCCTGTGAGCGGTTGCGTAAAAGAATTACAGAGTAGAGTTCACAAAGGGTCTGTATAACGAACCCCCGTGGTCAGGATATTATGGCACTGAATGTTACAGAGTATTTCAAGTAAATTCTTTGTTTAGTTCTGTACATGAGGGTAACTTATTCGCTGCGTGAGTACAGGAGTGTGAGGCAGTATGTCTGGCCTCACACTTTGTTATTCACATTTGCGTGAGAGGTATTCAAGCACATTGTGTGTGTGGTTCTATGCATGGGAACTGATATAGCTACTAAGTGCAAAAGAGTGGATACAATCTTAATATGTCGGCTATCTTGCCATTTCACACACACAGTGTGGTTGGACCTGGCCTTAAAGGGTTCTATCTTCACACAGTCGAGGACGTAGTGTTGGAGTGTGTGGCCATATGTCTGGCCACACACTTTACATTTAGTCTTGTTCACATCTGCTTGAGGGACATACTGCCAGAGGTACTTATATCCTAACCTTAATCTAGCGGTTACAACATCTTGTAATCTAGTGATCTTGTTACTTGCTCCATATACAAGTTTCACTTGATACATCTCATCATGGTAAACCATGGATCGACTAGTGCCTGTTTGCACTTGTCTACTTGCGTCAAATTCATCAAAAAGTTCGTTCATAATTACAGTTTTAAGGGTTCTTTTTGACAGACACAGATTGTATTCAACAGTGTCTGTTAGACGCGAGTTTGGCGAGGGCATCAACTCTCATGTTCTTTGAGGCCCTATGTGAGAGGGGATCCACAACAGTTTGATCTTGACACCCCGGTCAACAAGGTACGCATATTTGTGTCTGGCTTCAGAGACAAGAGCGTGACAACCTGAGTCGAGGGTGCCAAGGGCAAGTAGTGAGGATAGAGAGTCAGTGTAGATGGTCTGTGTGATATAATCATCAGTCTGTAGGGTGTGTATGTGTTCAAGAGCTCCCACTTTGGTAGTGTGTTGGAGATAAATGCTTTGTATAATTAATGTTTAAGGCGGATTTGTCGGTATTGTGGTATCGAGGGGACCAGAAGATATGGGAGTGAGTAGGATGCGTCAGGAGCATCTGTGGGAGGTAGTGAGGAACGCGTGCTGCACCACTCACCCGCACCACGTGAGCAGAAACATCATGATCAAGCAGGAATACCATGGTAAGGGTTAAAATGCGTACAATGGTTCATCTCCTCGAGGTGTGGTTATAAACAGTTTACTTGGTGAGTCTTTTAACACCGGCGATACCTAACCAACTGTGTCGTCAGGTGTGGTGATGACGCCACTAACACCGGCGATACCTAACCAACTGTGTCGTCAGGTGTGGTGATGACGCCACTAACACCGGCGATACCTAACCAACTGTGTCGTCAGGTGTGGTGATGACGTCATTAACAGCGATACCTAACCAACTGTGTCGTCAGGTGTGGTGATGACGTCACTAACACCGGCGATACCTAACCAACTGTGTCGTCAGGTGTGGTGATGACGTACGTCATCCTTATAAATGACTCCACTGTTCAAGGACCAATATCATTCACTGAACAATATATAACGTGTGATCTCTAAACCCTAATATGACCCGTCTGTCTCTTCCATGGCCTTCTCACCTTTAAACCTTCCCAATCTCTCAGTATCTGTCACTATCTCCCTCATCTATCTCACTCTACGGGACTATCTCACCTTACACATTCTTTGTTAAGGTCTTAGTATCTCTCTCTCTCTTGTACTAACTCCCCAAACACTCTTCACTATTTACTGCACTAATATACTCCAGTTTAACGTACGTGTGTAAAAAGTTGAAGTACACAC